TAATCTAGCCTCCTAATAATCCTGATATATATCTCTCAGAGGAAGGCGCAGACCCAGACAGTATTGAGGCAGTGGCAAACCGTGTGTTGGAGCTCTCCATTCCTGCTTCACCCATTCAAATCAAGCATCTCGCTGATGAAATCAAGGAGCGGGTCCACAGCCTTTCAAATGTGGATGCCATCCTGCAGCAGACGCAGGATGATGTCCGCAAGGCCGAACAACTGCTGCTGGATGCCAAAAGGGCGAGGTAGTTAGATTTAAAACTGTATTATAATGTATCGGTATAGAATTATTTGTGCTACTTGCAGTCATTAACGCTTCATTGTTGTGAAGGCATCATGCTGAGGGGGTGAAGACGACAGCAGAGACAGTGGAACAGGCCTTGGTGGATGCTAAGAATGCCCAGACTTCAGCAGAGAAAGCCATAACAAAAGCCAGAGCTGACATCGGGGAGACTAAAAAACGGCTGACAGAGGTTAGCAAAAATTCATAACACTTATGTATATTGTGGGCATTGCCTGTATACAAAAGATGGATGTAGTCGCTGTGACATCACTCATTGGTTTTGGATTCCTAGTTTTAAAGTTTCAGTGTTAGTATTTTGACCAACATCATGTTAGTTTTTTAGAGCCCAAATTTGCTGTATATGGATGAAAGGGGTTGAGTGCTAAATTATCAGCTAATTAGCAAGCTTCTTTAGCTAGCTGCATACATAATCTGTATGGATATAATGCACACGCTGGTATACTGGTCTCATTTGCTAAATGTTATTCTTACTGAATCCAACATGATGTTAATTTGATTAATGATGCTCAACATTACTGACAAAAAAGATGATAAAACAGCGTCGCTTTGGGATGAGCCCACTGTGTGACAAGTCTCTAATGTAAGAGCAGAGCCGTGGCCTTGATTTCACAGTCATTTCTGCTCCTCACTAGTCACATTTCAAAGCACAAATATGGTGATGATGAAAACTTCAAATGCCTTTGTGCACTTATATGTACAGTTATCTTAAAGCACTTTCATTCTAGTGGTCAGTAGAACACAAAAACCTCATGTTTAGTGCCCAAATAAAAACAAAAATGAAAGTTTGAAAATTTTGCAGACTTTGTCCCAAAGAAAAGTTTAAAAGGTTTTCTTCCGTAAAGGTCATATTTCTACTATTTTGTTTGTTGTTGCAGAATCTCTCTGGTCAGTGGCTGTGAGCCACAGTAGAGCTTAACTGAACAACAGGTTATTTCTTTAAGCATTTTACATAAAAAAAAATATAGTTTAGGAAGTTAAGAGTTGTTTCTGTTGGACAGCTTCCTTTTTCAGCAGGCAAAAACAAAATAAAAAAATTAAACTAGATTTTAATGACCCTAATTATAAAAGATAAATATACATATCACAGTGTTTTGTTTATAGCATGTTTCTGCTGCCCCCTAGTGGTTATAAAATACATAACCATAGATTAAAAGAGTTTTTTTGTTTGGCTTTTTTTTTTATTCGTGAAATTTCAGGAACCAAAACATATGCAAGCTGATCAACATGCTTAAAGAAATTACTTGCACATAAGGGATAATGACAGTTATCCCAGTTAGATAACGTTAATTTCAATTCAGAAAGAACTTTACTTCTTTTACCCACTCTACGCAGATTGAGTCAGAAACATCCGATGGTGAGATGAACCTTAATGATGCCGTGGCCCGCCTCAACACACTGAGACGTGAGATCAATGCCTTGAAGACCAAACGTGCCAGCAACAGCATGGCAGCTGCCCGAGCTGAAGAGACAGCTACCATGGCACGGGACAAGGCAAATGAAGCCAAGCAGGTGTGTGTTTGTGTTTGTGTGTGCTTCATAACAACCAGACATGTCTGTTATAAAAGAAGATGTCTTTCTGCGCAGATTCTGGATGGTCAGTTGACAGATAAATACAATGAGGTACAGCAGCGGGTTGACACTAAAGCCAAGGCTGTGCAGGATGCCAAGAAAAGGGCAGAGAGACTCAGAGATGAAGCCAAGGAACTTCTGAAAGATGCCCAGAAAAAGCTACAGAGGCTTGCAGGTACTTATTAATGTCTGTGAGTGTCTGGAGGACAAAAGCAGATAGTTGCAAAGAAACAGTTGATGCAATACATTTATCAAATTTTGTCTAAATTATGTCAATCTTGACTTGTAGGCAACATGTGTACATTTTTAAAATGTGTGGTGACTGACAACACTCTAAGAATACAAGTCTTTAAACGACATTACTACAACAAAATGATCAGTTATGAAAAGAATAACGTGGACAAAAGGCAAATAAACCTTACCAAACAGAAGACATTAGTACTTGTGTAAATATATACACTATGTTTGATATAAACATGACTTTTCAAAGACTAACATACCTGCTCAACATACTCACATACTCAGATCACATCAGCAGAGAACTTCAGTATATTTAGCTGACAACTTTTGCTCCACAATTATTAACTGAATTTAGAACATCCATTGAAGCAAAAAATAATAATAATCAAAATTGTTATTAATTAAATTAAATATGGTGTGATTAATTTTTATAAAATTAACATTTTAAATGTCACACTGTTCCTTCCAGGCTAAATTCTGTGTCAATCATAACATTCCCTTTATGATTGACACATTCATTCATAACATTTCTCTTTCTTTCAGCTTAAAAATCTATGTAAAATACTTGAGTTGTGGCCTTTTTGGTTGCAAAGCATTAAAATACAAATCTAAAATACATCTAAGAGCATCAGTAGGTTTCGTGGCAACAGAATAGATATTTAGCTTTATTTGGCTGTCATTCCTTATCATGTGAATACTAAATGAAGAACATGTATATGACTGAAAACATTTGGGTCCTACAATTGGTCCCTGAGGAACTCCAAATGTTAATTCACAGTGTTTTAAAAACAGTCTAAAATTGAGAGTGAGAACATTTTTCCAGATACTCCAGATTAGATATTTTGTGTGTTTAAAAGCCAAGACCCGATCAGCTAATGTCTCGCTGTGTAACCATTCCTGAAATGTCTGGATTCTGCAGAGTTGGAAAAAAACTATGAGGAAAACCAGAAGAAACTGGAGGGGAAGGCTCGTCAGCTAGACGGTTTGGAGGACAAGATGAAAAGCATCCTCCATGACATCAACAAACAGATCCAGATCTACAACACATGTCAATAACTCACCACTCAAAGTCAAAAAGAAAGAAGTCCGCCATCTTCTCCGTCTGCCACTTCCTTCAGATACAGTTACACGTCAAAACGCAACAAAAAATAAAGTCACTCCAGAAGTGAATGTGCATTTTTGTCTCCAAATGTTCCTGTTTTGTCAGTGTTTGCAATCGTTGCTATCATATTGACATAAATAAAGGTTGTCTGATGTCATGTTTTATTTCTGATTCAAATTCGAGCACAATATATTTGCATTTATTGCTGCAAATAAGATCACATGTATATGTTAAAATGTGTGATTTCAATTATTAAAAAAATGTAAGTTATATATTTTAAATCATTTTAAATTATAATGTTTTCCCTTTATTTACCATGTGATGGTGTAGCTGTAGTTAGATGGTCCAGGCCTTAACCATTAACTATTGTCTTCTGTTATTGAATGTGGATGAAGTTGCAATCAGCTGTCACATTTTTCTCTTAAGTATTATTTTGTTATTTTGCTTTTTAAATTTGAATAAAATCCTCAGAGGAAGGAGCAAACAGAGCCGTGTAGTTGTAATAAGAACCTTTATTATATATATATCTATATAAAATTGTCCAATGAAGCACAGATGAAGTGTGAGTCAGGAATCCAGTTACCATGTTTGTCTTCAAGCAAAATAGCAGGGAAACAAATCATAAACATTTATATGTGGAAAAATAATGAACTGTTTGTCTCTGCTGCCTGGAGTAGGAGGGTGGCTGTATACTGAATGTTAAGAATTGCAACCAAATGCCAAGATTGTGAATGTTTATCACACATACTGTGATGGAGCTTGGAGTTATTGTTTATTGAAGTGACATAGTAATCAGCGATGTGTAGTACGCTGTTTAATTGTGCCTTACATTGCCAGTATCATACATTCTTTTACTATTTGCATGCCAATTTGTTTTTTTTTTGTTTTTTTCTAGGTGTAACAGATGATTTTGGTACACCTAGAAGCTGCAGCCAAATGATTGATAACTGCTTAACAAAATGAAAATACCAAAAGTAACCTTTGTAAAGTTTTAAAGTGTACAGTTTGATGAATGAATAACTTTTTAAAAATCTGTGTAGATGTTTGTTTGTTTTTTCATTACATTTATCACAAAGCAGAATGATTTGAACTTTCCACGTTTTCTAACCGTGCTGTCTTGTGGCTCCAATGTGCATGGGGTTTGCAGTGGTGCAAGATGTCCCATTTCTATTTTTGTGTCTGTGTCCTTGATGTGCCCTTTTGACAGAATCTGCTGCACTGCAAGTTTTACAGCTGTCCGTTTACCAGGTTTGCCACTAAGTGTTGGCAGATCTCAAAAGCAAAAGACTTGAGGTTGATCTGAAATACCTACCTTATGCCATTTGTAGTTGCCTGGATTTGAAGTTTTTGTAAATGAGCCAAAATTGTAATGAGGTTTGGAAGTTATGGGTTTGTTTCTTGGTGCGCTTTAAATGTAGTTGCTGCAAAACCAAAGTTACATACATTTTTCAGGAAAAGACAGACAAACTACTACGTACTGTAGTCTAACAAGATAATGGAGACCTATTTGGGACAAGGCTTACTAAATCTAGACCTCTGTCCTTAACTTCTGTGAGAATATTGGTGCACAAAAGGATGTCGTGAGCGCCATTAAATGTTGATTACAGAGGCTCTCGGATGCTCCTTAGATGACTCGGAAGGTTTTCAGTGTCTCGAACATTTTTTAGACATCGGAACAATATCATAAATGTGGTATATAATAATCAAAAATCGAGAAATTTAATCTAATGCAGATTGTTATAGAGCGAGAGAGAAAGCGAGAGAGATCACGTGAGCATGTCAGCCAGGAAGTGACCGTGCAATCGTTTCAGGTTTGGCCGGTCAGCGCTGTAATTTCCTCCAAACAAAGTAGGACTCGCCCCGCAGAGGCCGGATGAAACCAATGGATTGAGCAGGATTTCTGCTGTTGTATTTTGTTTGATTTTCTTCGCAATTGAAATGTGAAGAAATGGGCCCTGGTTAAAGAAAAGAAGATTCTAGAAACACCGTGGACTACGGGGTTTCGAGTTCGGGCAGGAGCATAGCGGCCTGCGGCCGAGAAGGGAGCTTTAGCAGCCGGGCAACGAAAAGAAGTCGCTCGCTATTGTGTGTTAAAACGGAATTAGCATCATAATAAATCCCCGTAAGTGTCATGTTGTTACGTTAATATGAATGTAGTGTTTTAACTGCTAATGTTCGTCAGGTGTCACGAGATGTCTTGTCTTATTTGTTTAAATTGAATAGCCGTACCAACCCGTTTGGTTTGAGCTACCGCTAGCGTGAGGCTAATGACTTTAGCTGCTCGGAGCTCTGTAGCAGCGCTTGATTAGACGACCTGCCCGGCGCTCCGCTGGGGCACACGGTAATGGAGATAAACTACAGCCATTAAAACATTACTGGCGGTATGCGAAAGTAATGCCACTGTTTACTACTGCTCCGAGAAGTCAAAGCAGCGAAATTAGATACGGTATGTACATAAACAATTGTTACATTTCGCAGTGTAGACCAGGTACATCAGGGTTACGGTGTTATGTTACTCTTCTGAAGGTTAGCAGGTTTTTTAAAGAGAGTTGCCAAAGCATGACTTTGAGAATATAAGGTTAGTTTGAAGCCTCGTGGAGACCTATGTGTATGCTTCATTATTTACAGGCACATGACAGCCACGAACACGTGTGCCTTAAAATAAACGAACCTATATAGTCTGCTGGTTATTGGCTAACTTACAGTAAGTAAGCTAACTAGCTTGATAAGGGGAAGCTCAGCAATACGGATTAATAAACAGCGGTCGGCTATTTAGTAAATGGTTTGTACTGAACGCTAACTAAAATGGCTGATTTATCTGTTGTCCTTTGTTTGTCATTTTACTGTGGGCTAGCAACTTGCGGTTGCTATGCTAAGGAAACGGAGCAAAGCTCAATGTCCGACTGGTTCAGTCGATGTTATGCTCAGCCATATGCTTTTTGTTGTAAGGCACAATAGTCATGTTCTTTTTCAGCATTGCTGTTATCTGACACCTGCTCTACAGCAGGTCCCTGTCTCTGGATGTGTGCATGCGTTTGCTGGTGTGTGTGTCCTACTCAAGTCCCATAGCTGTTTGATATTCTGTTACACCTTGTAAATTGCACATCATGATAACTGACAGTGAATTGTCTATGCTTTAGGTCCCCATCCCTCACTAGTCTTCCTGATTCTGTTCTGGGAGAGTTCAGACCAGCATCATCGCCAAGATAGCCGGGCCAGGCAGGAAGAGGCACACCTCAGATCCAGACCCCAGCAGTGGTAGTGACTCTGGCGACGGGCGGCCTGTCAGTGCCAAGTGCCTGAAGATGGCCAGCAGCGGCAGTAGTGGTGTGGCCGGGAGTGAGGCGGGGGGCCACCGTGGTGGAGCTCAGCAGAGAGGAGGCAGTAGCAGAGAAAACGGCTCAGACTTGCCCTCCAGTACGAGTAAGAAGAAGCAGAAGGACAGGGCCAACCAGGAAAGCAGAGAGGCCAAGAGAGCGGCAGCAGCAGCTGCTGCAGCCGTGGATGGGGTTATTGCAGAAGTCAAGAAAGGTAAGAATTACAAAAAGTGTCCCAGCTACACGCATTTTTACATTATTTTATTTTTTGTGGATGCCTACTCTTAAAATGTGGGTAAATGTTTTGTTTTGAAAGGTAACCATGTAGCCTCATCCCCTGTAGCGTGTCCCTGGTATTTTATTTTTCCCTACATGAAAGCTGGTTAGGCCACTTGTGTTGCTTTGGTGTCATTCAGCTGCTTTTCCATGGAGTTTGTCATCCTCCTGGTGACTCAAATTCCACCATCTTGAACATTAGCTAGTGACGGTGATTGTGGTTCCTGTTCTGCTTTGTGAGAGATTCACTGTAAGCCGGAGGGTTACTCAAACGACAGCCTGTGGAGAACTGGTTCATTTGTTTGTTGTGATCAGTTATTTTTGTCAGTAATTATTTCACTTCATTATAGATGCACATTTTTGTTATGTCAACAAAGTCCTCTGGGTGAGAGACCCTCAGTGATCTAGAGACAAAAGCGTCTGCAGCCAATCAGTAATCGTCATCTTCTTTCTTCTGGTTCCTTTAGCTGATCCACCACAGCAGATTATTTTGCCTCCATCTCATCCTGTCCTAACATTCTCCTCTGCCACACCAGTTCTCTGCATGTCCTCCTTGACCATATGCACTAAAGGCAGAAACACACTAGTGATCTAGATTTACCTTTAGATGAAGCAGACAGACCAAAGTGCATGGCTGTAGTTGAAAGAGGTGTGCTGATTTTATAACAGAGAGCAAGACAAAATCTTCATAGCAAACAGAAACATAACAAAGAAATTGTTTTATGCTCATTATTTTATTTTTTATAATTAACGAATAGTACAATTGTAGCTGAAATAAATATACAATTTGTTGCTTGGCCCTAGTTTGTGTCCTTAAATCAAACTCAAAGGGCTGTTCCAAGAACCCCCTTAAATCACCTGCCACCTACACTCACCAGGTGCAGGCCAAGGCAGTGGAGTTAGAGTCCTTAGGATATTGTTGAGGCATTTATCCCTTTGCAACTTCTTTATCGGATAAAACAGTAATAACAGCAATAAAATATTAACTACAACTACATTATATGAATTTGGTAGCACACGTATGTGTAAATGTAAATGCCCAGCTTTTAGTTTGTCATCATTTTATTTATTTTGCAGTACTAAACCTTTTTTCTGTGTAGTGGAATAATTTGCACAAGAGAGTTGAAGAAGACGGAACGGGTTAAATGGAGTGGTTGGAGATGAGTGTCAGGGTTGATTTGTGACAGAAGGAATGTGAAAGTGAAAGAGTAGATTAATAAAATAGTAGTGAGACCTGCTATGATGTATAGTTTGGAGGTGGTAGTACTAACAAAGTGATACAAGGCAGAATTGGAGGTGGCAGAGTTGACAGTCTTTGGATTTTCTTTGAGAGAGAACAGGATGGGCAAGATTAGGAATGAGTACATCAGAGGGAGAGCTCAAATTCAGTGTTTTAGAGACAAGGCTGAGGTGGTTTGGACATGTGCAGAGGATGGATAGTTTTGATTATAAAGAGCCTCACAGAAGCAATGACAATGTAACAGTCTGAGACTCACCATCTTCTTCTAGTAGATACTGAATATAATGTGTTAAAAGATGAAGAAAACGTTTTATGCTTTCTGGAATAACATAATGGAATACTTTTCCAGTTTAAAGGTTAAAACAAAAGCAGCTGTAGTTTTCTTGTCTGACCACTGAAGGATTTATTTGAGTCCACATAATCTTTGCACAGATTTGTAAATTAGGTTTGTGGTTTCTTTCTTCTTGATGTTTCTCCTTTTCTTTTTTCCTTTTCCTCCATCATTTATTTGTCTTGATCGAGCAGTATTAATCACTTAACTCTGTTACAGTTGTGAGTGATTTTGTCCCTGAAGGTTGAAATGCTAATGCAAAGCTTCTCACATTTTCCATAAGCCCTTGATCAAATAAGCTATTGATTCACAGTGCTTTTTCTTTCCAAAGTCTATAGTCTTTGGCAATACCTGTAAACTATACACGTGAGATTCGCCTGCCTTTTGTTTTACTTGTTTTCTGTATTTGTACTCGTGGATTTGGACTCAAAGCATAGATACCTCCCTAGCAACTAGAGCTGGGCGATATGAGATTTTTTCATATCACGATATGTTTTTTTCATTTCAGGCGATAACGATATCTATCACGATATAAGCCAAATAACTATATTTGTAAGATTTAAATGTGCTGTTGCTCACAAGTAAAATGTGAAATAATCAGCAGTTTGTTTTTATTTAAATATTTATTTCCCATAATAAGTTCAACAGGGTAGATGTACTTAAGGAACATGAGACTTTTTCAGATAAATAAAGGCAAATATTGCAAACTACACAAAAGGCAGCCGCTAAAGCGTCTAAGTTTCAAAATAGAACAAACAAAACAGACTAAATTGTCAATTCCACTTAGAAACAAAATATTAATTCTAAAAATAAATCTTAGTTTGTTTTACAGAAGAACAGACAAAACTGACTAACTTTTGTCAATATCAAATAAACTGAGAACTAAAAGGAAATTCTCAATCTCTCCTTGTTGTATAGCTGAGCTTTTCAAACAGTTTTAACAGTTACTTTAGTCTGACAAAAGCCGAATGACGAATTAGCGCTTCCAGTCAGAGACTGAGGCTACGTACACGGGTATTTTTGAAAACGGAGATTTTCCGTTTTCGTTTTAAAAAATAATCCCGTCCACACATAAAGGCAGAAATGAAGGAAAACGCTGCTATGAACATGCCAAAGCAGCAGGTGGCGCTAGATTCCTAACCGTGCAGAAATGTTGGCCAATCAGAAGTCTAGAAGCCTCGGTGGGAAAAAGTAAACAAAGCTGGGGCATAGAAGCAGAACAGAGTCGTATGTGTGGAGGGACAATAACTGTGTGTATATGTAAGCATTTAAACACTGCAGAGAGTAGAATTAACAGTAACAGTATTGTAGAAATTCGTTTCACCGAAACAATAACGTGGCGCACAGTGTGACGCATGCACCAGTTTATTGTATTTCCAGACTTGCTTTCGGCACAATTTACAGTGCACGCTACTCTGTTTTTTGTCAGACTTGAAATAGCCGAAATACCTTCACACTACGGAACTTCTATGGCTCTTCCATTCGACAATCTCTCCGGCATTGGAACCATCATCTGTTTTCTCTTCGGTCACGCTCGGTTGATTTTTCTAGTCGGCACACTCATTTCCTCCATTACGCGCTGGCTCCATTACGCGCTGGCTGCTTCCTAAACAAACACACGTGCGGCTTGGCACTTGTGCTGTACGTAACAAGTCATGCGACGTGACGCTGCGGCTGTGATTGGTTCGGCTCTGCGCTACTTAATTTGGATTGGCTGACCTTTTTTTTTTTTTTTTTAGAGGACAAGAGCGGCGAGGTCTATCGCGATAGCTTAATTTCTCTATCGAGTAAAAGTTATATCGCGATACATATCGTTATCGTTCTATCGCCCAGCTCTACTAGCAACTAAAATAAGCACCACAGTAATAGAGCTGTAATCTGCAACAATTACAGCTCTATTACTGTAGTGCTTATTTTCTATTCAATAACCACTTTAGTCCAGCAGTAACAGCTTTTTGGCCAGTAGGGGGAAGGAACATAGTAGAAGATTGTCCCTTTTTTAGCACCTATTCCAGTTGCCAATTGCATTTACTCTGTTCGTCTCTGATTTGGTGTCCATCGTGTTCTGATCTTCAGCATGTGTGACTACCATATTGTCACACATTTCGATATGTTGTTGTTGTTGTTGTTTTAAGCCTGCATAATTTGATACTAATAACAGCTTTTAAAGGTGATATTGGATCTCATGTTGATGTGAACGTAGTGATACAGCATTTACCTGATCATGTAGAGCACAGCTCATGCCTGTAATCAGTGCTTTGATTATATATACTTGGTCGTGCTGGAAGTATTGTTTGCAAGTTATCTTAGTGGGTCTCATCAGACTAGACCGTGTTCAGGTCAGTGCGGCTGTTTGTAGTGTTAATAGATGAGCTCTACTCTGGCTCTGTTTGGTTTCTCATGAGACTGAATGTGAGAGCATTTGTCTTGCTGGTCCTCTTCTTCATAGTGAAGGGATGTTATTCTAGCTGAGATACTGCCAGATACTCAACCAGCCGTAGGCTTTTCTATGAAAAGGCACCAGTAATTTTTTGATATTATTCAAAACCCGCAATCACCAACTCTGTTCAGTGATGCAAAGCAAAATGTATTTGGAAACAGCAAATTAAATCATTTCATTTTTTATTCATTAATAGTATTACAGTGTGAAATGCTATTTAAGTTGAATTGGTTGACTCACTTTAAATTAAATGTAATTTAATGTTCACAACATTCATGCTGGTAGTTGATCTAACCGTAGTGACAGTCAAAATGAGTTTACCTTCAACCAAAAGCTACTTTATTAAAAATAGATTTTGAGAAGTTATTTTTTTTCCAGTTGCTAGTTTTGTAGATCTTTCTAAAAGAAACTCTTGCTGCTCGGCAGCCATCTTTGAAATGTTTTGGGGAAAAATAAATTGGGAAGAAAATCTAAACTTCACTTTGAGAGTATTATGTGTGTTAATGTGTGCAAGTCAAATATGATGACATACTGCAAAAAATAAAAAATAAAATTCTACACACGAGCAAAGTTTCAGAACCTCCACACAATACTCGGTGCTAGCATAATCGGCGTCTCCTCTCATCCAATCAGAGTGCTTAATAAGTTCCGTACTATTTGACAATATGGTTACTTTAAGCCAAGAAAAAGCCAAAGTACTGTTATCTACAATTTTACTAAGCCCACAATTGGACTTCACAAACAACACTGCAACAACATGATTGGCTAATATCTTTACTTTTTCAGATAGTGATTGGCTCTTGTTAGCTTGAGCAGGACAACTATGGGCTCTTAACAAATGAGAGCTCTCCAATTGATTTCTGTTCAAGAATCTTTGATTGCATGTCTGCTCCTTTCATATGTATATATATTCTGGCTGTAACAGTCCACTGTTGCAGTAGTGTAATTTTAATTATACTGAGAATTCACAAAAAAATACACTTAAACACACATGTTAAGTGTTTAAAAAAACAAAACAATTTGTCACAAATGTCAACAAGTTTATTCCTGTCATTTGAGTGGCACAGCTACACTGGTAATCTGACTGTCACCAGCTGAAGGGGATTGAGTGTTCCTTGTGACCTTTTTGGAGTGATTCAGTTGGGGAGAGATTGGATGAGGAAATGAGTGTGGGAAAGTTGAGGCTTGAAGGCTGGGTGCTATGAGCCTTGTGGTACACGTCTTCTTGTTTCTTTCTTTTTGTCCACGTTAGTGTGTTGAGTCTACATTTGAAGAAGTGGCTCGGTAGCATGCAAATGACTTGATGATTTTCCTTCTTGCAATTGTTTACTTGGAATACAGTCTGTGTGGGGTGGATAATTTTAGATGTCCCATTTGTAATTGCTGAGTTCACTGCCTTCTGTCTGCCTCGGTCTGTCCGTGAGTGCTCTAGACTGACCCAGTTGAGCATATGAGCGCAGTGGTCTGTGTGAATGCGTGAGCATGTGCATTCAGTGTGTTTTCCTTTGGGTTCATTGTACTGATGCTGTGCTCTTCATTGGTTTTTACTTTAAAATTTCCTTTTTAACCAGAGGATTTTTTTTTTAGTTTTTACATTTTAACAGGGTCACTGTGGCTCAAGCTGGAGGCTGAGTGATCAGGGTGGAATAATTTTCAAGTTCCTGCTCATCTTTAAAACTCATATGCCTGCTTCTTTGTTTTTTCAAGATGTGTTTGTGGACTGGAAGCAGAATGTCAACGAAGTGACTGTCAGGCTGCGCTGTGGCGAGGGGGTGCAGAGGATAGAGGACATAAACACCACCTTCACAGACACACACTGCAATGTGGATTTCCCAGGTAATTCACAGCAAAGTATAAAAGTGGAGATCAAAATAGAAGCTGGGTCAGTCATAAAATATAAAACCACAAAAGTACATAGCTGTACAGTTTAGCCTTCAAACTCTGGAATTTGGACTTTAAACTTAATCCTTTGGTTTATATCTTGGATTTATTGCAGTTATTCTATTTGAAATGATACTGTAGGTAGAGCTGTGGTCTATTAAAATCGGTGCATTCTCATTCTTCAGATGGACGGCAATGGAGCTGCCAGCTGCAGGAGGAAATCGAGGCCTCATGTAGCAAAGTCCAGTATAAGGAAAAGGGAGGCTTCCTCCATCTCATCATGCACAAAAAGATTCCTTTCCACATCTGGCCTTCTCTAAAGGTGAGTCGCATAAAATTGTTCATCGCTCATTCAAAACAAGTTTAAAAGAATATTAAATTAAACTGAGGTAAGTATGCTAGCCTGCAAGCAACACACTGTACTTGTTATAAGGGTTCTGCACCACGTTTAGAAAAACATTTTGCCCAGACGTGACTGTTATTTAATCTTTGAAGGAGAGTCTTGCACATTGAAGCTTTAAGTAAGCTCTGTGTTTTTCTTCTGGCTCCTCTCCTCTGCTTTAGTCAAATAAAAAGAAGGAGGCAGTATCCATAGAGACCAAACCAGACATGAAGCCCGTTGCCTTGGAGTCATCAGAGAAAACTCCACATCTCCAGCCCCAGCCTCCCTCGTCACCTGCACACAGCGAGTCAAGACGCGGTGTTAGCAAATCATGTGTCAAACGCAGCCTGAAAACTAAACTGACGGGTGAAAAGGCCACTACGGACTCTGCAGGTGTTAAAAGCACAGCTGGAGATGGCTCCACCACCAGCAGCAAGCCTGTTACCGTCACAAAAGCAGAGCAACCGCATCAGGAACCTAGTGCCAAACGCACAGTTGTACGGCTGCCTAAGACCTCTAAGGACGCTGCATCAGCCGACCTGCCATCTGTGATGTCTACAGCAGCTAACGGGAAATCCACCTGTGCCCACCTGCCCGCTGGTCGGAGCCCACAGACGGAACGGAAAAGTGGAGACAACAGATCTGAGACTCGTGGCAGCGGACAGAAACAGGGAGCAGAAGCAGCTGCTTCCACCCTTACCAACAGAACTCAGGTGAGATTAGCTATAATATTGTGATTTATAATTCAGTTTCTTTACATGCCCTTAAATAACTGGATACAGTTGACTTACTCCAGTAAGCTGAGCTGTTAACTGTCCTGTAAGCAAGAAACCTGCCAACTGTTAGAAAAACTTGATTCCTCTGGCAGGGAAATAAAAAATTCACAAACACCAAAACAGTGTGAACACACAACGGTAAAGAGCTGTCTGTATTGTACTATCTCTATTTTACACAGCCACTTAGCTACCCCAGCAACAGTATTGCTGTTTTCTTTTATTGTGTTTATAGTCACACACAGCTGTCAGGCGGATGTGACGTATTCTGAATGAGCCCAAAATCATGCAGAACCCAATAAATAGAAATAATATATTTCCATATTTAATAATATTTAAAATGATTAAACTTTTTTTTATTATTTTTTATTTAAATAATTTCCCAACTCTGACTCATTTAAAGACTAAAATTGCAGATTATTTCCACACATCACCCAGTACTAGGATTTAATTCCATTACAGCCAGTAACACCATCTGCCATGTGTGGGCTCCCCTTTTCCAAGTGTCCCTGGAGCTTGGGAGAGATTTGTAATTTTATGAAATATTTTTACACAGCATACTAACAGATGCCATCTAAACCTGTCACCAGACAACAGCCTGCCAGATAAAGAGCAGTAAGTGAGACATGAGAGGACTGTCTGCTCATGTGTATTGGCGTGTTTTCATACAGCTAAGGTCACAAAAGTAACTTTGCAGATACTTTAGATCTCACTGGATAATCAGCTGTATATGGCATCCTTTGTTTTTGGTCACTGCTGTAATAAGAGGACTACAGGGTGCTGTGTATACCCTCTCAAATGTGAAAAATCTGTAGATCATAGATATTCATTTAGTCTCCTTTTCCTATGGGGACTTTGGGAGTGAATGTTGCTCTTTCATTTTTAAAATGTCTCCTGTTTTGTTTTTTTTGTTTTTTAATGTATTAATTTATTTGTATTTTTTCAGTTGGCTGAGAAGCAAAACCAGTCATCAGACCAGTCTGGTGCAACAACACATGTCAGTGTGAGCCAGCCAGCAGCTCCTGTTAGCACCAGTGACTGTGTTAAACCTGTCGCCTTCAACAAGGAAATGAATTCGACTTCTCCCCAAAGGCTGGGAGACAGAACAGACTCTGAGCCAGCTGGAAAACCTGTTGAGCAGGAATCAGAGCAGGATCCTCTGATTTGTCAGCAGCTTGGAGATATGGAAGTGGTACCAGTAGAGGCGATGGGAATGCCAGCCAAGCAAAGCCAGCCCCCAGGTGTTGCCCAAACGAAGAGCAGCTGTGACGATGAGGAGAAGCGGGACCAGTCGAAGGAGGAGCCGCTACTGGAAATGAAGCAACTGGATGGTTAGTTGTATATGGTGCTTAAATGCGCTTCTGAAAAAGGTTAAGGAAACAGTTTAACACACAATCAGTCAATTTCGGGGACATCGGTTTGCTCAGTGAGGAGGTGTAAACCATTGGGAATCCATTTCACCTGCTTTGGTGCAAACAAAAGGAGAGCATATGCACTGGAAAGGCAACAAGAGGACCACTCCGAAAAGGGGAATGTTTTTGCATGTGGAAGCCAAACCATTGCTCTTTCCTCGTCCCCTATTTACTGATTTTTCTCTAGCTTTGCTTTTTGCTAGTAACCTTGTCACCAGCGACAGGTCATAGTACCTGTAGTGCATTCATATTGGTTGACAAGCCGGGGTTCTCCGTTAGCACAAGTCCCACTAAAGACCCTCATGCCACACTCTTAGTGTCTGTTTTGACAGTTTGGTTAGAAATGTGTACAACCCTGTCCAGCTGTCCTTGAGTAATGGATCATCTCTTGGAGTCTCATCCATTCTTAAGACAGTGCTGGGAGGCTTGGAGAACACTATCATAACAGCACCAATGTGCTAATCTGGGGAAGCTGGACTATCCATGCAACATGTACTGTGTCATGCTACCAGTGCAGTGCAAAGACAGTGGCAAAAAGTAGAGGTAGAGGAAAAATCTGTCAGATGGAGTAAGAGAGCAGTGGTCTACCTGTAAAACCATTCACTTTCTTAGGTTCGGTTGTTGCCTCTATGGTGCACTTGTTGTTTTTGCACAAAAGCAGGTGAGATCATTTCATAGGTTGATTTCTCTCCCCCCAGTTTGACTGACTTTGTTATATTTAGCGTATAATTGAAGGTGAAAATAGTAAATTCCAAAATTTGGCACCTTCCAAAATTCTCTTTTAGTCTCACTAACTTTTCTTCCTCTTGAAACTGGTTTATGACCAAAGATCACAACTGCAACATATAAATGCTGAAAACATTTAAAATCTTTGGTTCCAAGCCAGCTGTGAGATAACCTTGGCTCTCAACCAGGACCTGTCCCGCACACCTTAAACACCTTTCCTGGGATCATATTAGGCATGCTATTCAGATGCACAAACCACCTCAAATAACTTCTTTTTGTTAATACTTTGTCCAAACTTCCCACAGCCCCAGAGCCCATGGTAAACCTGCAGTATGTGAAGAATGATTCATATGAGAAGGGCACAGACTTGATGGTGGTCAATGTTTACCTGAAGGGGATCTGCAGGGATACAGCCAGAGTCATCTTCAGGGAACAGGACTTCACCCTCATCTTCCAGACAAGGTTATGACCATGAATATCTACTAATAAAGCATGTGGCTTCCTTTTGGCCAGTCTTGAAAGAGCAGCGAGTGATTGACCTTCCTTTGGCTTTCCTTTACAGTGATGTCAGCTTTCTGCGGCTTCATTCAGATTGTGGACCGAACACAGTCTTCAAGTGGCAAGTCAAACTCAGGTACTGTTGGAGTTTGCTTGTTCTTGCTTAGAAACCAGAATCTTAAAATGAGCAGGTGAAGAGCGCAACACCGGAATGTTTTTCTGTGTAGATGTGTGGGCTAACTGTACAGATATACTGAGCTGTTCCAGGAATCACGGCTAGCTTCATCAGTATCTAACTAATTGGAACAGCCTAATTAGCCATGAAGAAACAAGAGTGCTAAATCACTAGGGTTAAATCAGGGCAAAGACATCAAACTTATAAGGTAGAACCTGTCACCACATTTAAGGAAACTTGTGGAATCAAACTTCCTTATCTGTGGTTTCTTTTTACGGGTTTAAGCACTCGGCACAAATGGAAGTGGTGCGGACAACATAAATATGTTTAATATCTGGAATGTTATAAATGTCTTCCAGACATTACGTGATGAATAACAAAGTGGGAATGTTGCACTGATGACATTCTCGTAGATCACTCACCTCCCTGAACTTCTTTTTGCCTTTACAATCTGACCTGTGTACTCTCCTTCCTGTGATTCAGGAATCTGATCCAGCCTGAGTTGTGCAGCTACGCCTTCACTCCCTCCCGTCTGGACATCACTCTGAAGAAGAGGCACAGCCAACGCTGGGGGGGCCTGGAGGCCCAAGCCACACAAGGTCTGCTGCCAGGCTTCTACTTGTCAACATTAGATAAAGTCTTTGGTTTTGTTCTGCAGGATTTTTGGACATGATAAACCAGAGAAGTTCCACAATAAAGATGACCAACACTTATTGCTTGAATTTAGGGCAGTTTGTTGTCTTTTGTTAGTGTTTTTTCTTTACTGTTTGTGGTTGAGACAAATGCATGTGGTTTTTTCAGGTACAGGAATTTGACCTCTGTAACGTGGCATGTAAATGAATATTGCTGCAAAACTATATTTATTATTCCTGTCACATCTCTTGCTGATGAGCTTCATTTTCTAACCACAACCTCTATTGTCCTCTGTTTAAGGTGCAGTGGGTGGCGCTAAGGTCGCTGTGCCCTCCAGCCCTGCCTGCATGGAGAAGAGCCAGCCAGGCAGCAGTCAGCACAACCTCCCAGCCAAGGAGGAGCCTCCGCGGGTTGGGGAAGAAAAACCCAAGACACCCAAGGCCCCAACCAGAGTGGAAGATGGGGGTTTGGACTCTGTGGCTCCACGCACAGTCTCTGAGCACGTTGCTATTACCAAGCCAGAGCCTACTGTTACCATGGTGAATGGATTAATGAATACCCATATAGACTTGAAACTGTGTACTACTATTGTTATATTGTTTTTACTTCTAGTAGTTTTATTATCATTTGGTCCACGTGTGTCATAAGAGCTGACAGCAGCAGGGGTGACACCATAGAGTCTGGATGAGTGAATAGTTATTAGGTGAGGCTAATAAAAGTACATACAAACATATACAACTAGAGTAAATGACAGTGTGTGTTTCCCAGCCTAAGCCTACCTGCATGGTGCAGCCCATGACCCACGCACCTCCGGCCAGCAGCGAGCGCCATGAGGAAGAGGAAGAGAAGAAGGTGTGCTTGCCTGGTTTTACAGGGTTGGTCAACCTCGGAAACACCTGCTTCATGAACAGCGTCATTCAGTCCCTGTCCAACACCAGAGAACTCAGGGATTACTTTCATGGTAAATAATGGATTTACTCTTTTTACCTCTTAAAAATAATACAGGAATACATTTATAATTCAGCACTGTTTTAATAAATGCTGCTCTAATGCACACCCAAAGGGATAATTAATTCATCTTTAATGCTGTTGCCAAGAAGAGCACCGTGTTGTTGGGTTTTTGTGTTGAAAAGTAAAACAGGCTATGTTTTATTATGGCTTTGGTACAACGTCATGGCCCACAGGGGCAGGCTTAATGAGTGCTCAGGAACTTCCACAGGATTTATCTCCATTAGCTACAACTGCAGAAGTTTGTGGACTTGAAGCATTTAGAGCACTGAAAATCTGGGTCACCTAGTTCCCTGGAAACAATGTAATTCGCCAAAGGTTGATAGAAAATATTATCTTTTTGCATTCCTGTATTTTCTGTTTCCCCACAGACCGAGCCTTTGAGGCAGAAATCAACTGCACTAATCCACTGGGAACAGGAGGCAGGCTAGCCATCAGCTTTGCTGTGCTGCTCAGGGCTCTTTGGAAAGGAACGCACCACGCCTTCCAGCCCTCAAAACTCAAGGTACAAAAGCGGCACCCTGAGATTTTCCTGAGATCTTCTCCTCTTCTACAGCAATTTTTCTCTGGAAGTTTTCAATCTGCCTTCATTTTCTCCATCTGTTTGCAAACACACAGGCAATTGTGGCAAGTAAAGCAAGTCAGTTTACTGGTTACGCCCAGCACGATGCCCAGGAGTTCATGGCATTCCTGCTGGACGGACTCCACGAGGACTTGAACCGCATCCAGAACAAACCTTACACAGAAACGGTCGACTCTGACGGGCGGCTAGACGAAGTTAGTGTTTTTCTTTGGCTAATGTGATGAGATTAAATGGTAACTGTTTCCTGCTAGAATTTTGTCAAACCTTGACCTGATGTTTTGTTTTGTTTTTTTGTTGTTGGTGCAGGTGGTGGCAGAGGAAGCATGGCAGAGGCACAAGATGCGGAATGACTCCTTTATAGTAGATCTGTTTCAGGGTCAGTTCAAGTCCAAACTGGTGTGTCCCACATGCTCTAAGGTAACACAATAACACAATTTTTCAGTCCCCCACCCCCACCCCACAAACACACATGTTTGGTTTCTGTTTATTGACATTGACATCTCTGTCCTCTTTTTCAGGTATCTATCACCTTTGACCCCTTCCTCTACCTGCCCGTGCCGTTGCCACAGAAACAAAAGGTGCTCTCAGTTTTCTACTTCGCTAAGGAACCTCATAAAAAACCCATCAAGGTAAGATAAGAAACAGCTTTGCAGTTCTGCATCAATTATTAAGTGCTGAAATTCAAAGGTGTCTCTTGTGACCTGTTAATGAATATTCATCTGTATGTGTCAGTTTTTAGTGAGTGTAAGCAAGGAGAGCTCCAGTACTGCTGAAGTCCTGGAATCTATCTCTAGAAGTGTGAGGGTCAAACCCGAGAACCTCAGACTGGCCGAGGTTAGACATTTTAAAATGTCCTTTAACAGTGTCGTGGAAAGGAGGGAGAGTCGTATAATACCGCAGACATTTAGAGGTGACTTTCTCAAGGACACTTTTTCTCTTCCCCCCATCTCAGGTGGGAAAGAACCGCTTCCAGCGAATGTTCCTGCCTACCCACTCCCTGGACACAGTGTCCTCCTCTGACATGTTATTCTGTTTTGAGGTGCTTTCCAAAGACCTGGCCAAAGAGAGAGTGGTATTGTTCAAAGTGCAGCAGGTATAAATCTCGCTTTTACATTTTGAAAACCTGTGAAATATGTGATTACAAATATTTTAACAGCCTTGTGTTTGCTCTGCAGAAACTTCAGGTCCCCAATATCCCCATCTCCAAATGTGCTGCCTGCCTGAAGCCTCCGGTGTCTGAAGAAGACAAACTGAAGCGTTGCACTCGCTGCTATCGCGTTGGCTACTGCAATCAGTAAGTTTTCCAAAACATGTTTTTTCCAACTGTAAATAGCTGATTAAGAACTTTCCAAGGGATTGCCTGGAAGAAAGTGACTCCCATATCATGTTATTAATTCAGTCGGTTAACTTTTCTATGAACTTGTGTTGCGAAATCAATCAATGTAGAGCAGTGACACAAACCACGGAGGCCCAGAAGAGTGCAGTCAAACAATGAGTTTATTAACACACAGGAGAGAAAACATCAGCATATGTCTTCTGCCAAAAATACACAGAGAATGGTTTATATATCATCAGGGTTTGACGCCCCCTCTTGTGTTCTATAACATATTTTTGTATTTCTAAGAACATCATTTGCATCTTGTACAGACAATGAAACAATTTTAGAGCTAAAGTCAGACACAGAAGTTCCTCTTTCTAACATCCCAAATAAGGTGATAATTTCAGGCCCTGGAGATACCCGTTGTCTTGTCCTCCTGTTGACCCATCTTCTGTCACCTGTTACTAAGTAAACTCAAATGCCACAGGTTGCAACAAGAAGATGAATACATTCAGGCCTTCGCTCAAGCCTGTTCCTAGATTATATGTACTATATGTATTATAAGCGTGTAGCGGCCTTCTATGTTCTAAGTCTTTTACACAATAGATTGTGAAGTCATAGCGCTTCACAAAGCTTGAAACCTTCAATAAACTGAGACTGAACATCAACTCTGAATGAGCACAATCATGCAATGTGTATGAAATACTTCTGGCTGTACCTGTAATAAAAGGTTAACATGGTGGAATTAACTTTAATAAACATCTTTAATACAATATCAAATGCTATAAGAAATAAATGATAAAACTGCAGATTATATGTTAGCAATAAAATTTCTGTACTTCCTCACATGTTAACTCTTCTGCTCTTGTTTCTCCAGAGTGTGTCAGAGAACCCACTGGCCCAACCACAAAAGTCTGTGTCGACCCAACACAGAGAACGTGGGCCTGCCTTTCCTGGTCAGTGTCCCAGAGTCTCGACTCTCATATTCCCGGCTCGTCCAGCTTCTAGAGGGTTATTCCAGGTACACAGTCACTTTTATTTCAAAGTCATCGTGTTCGATTTACTAATATTAAATTTGCTGTGACGTGTCTGAATTAGAGATGGTCCTGGGAATTCGTTTTACTTGATTAATGGAAGAAAAAACTCAAACTACTTGACGATTCTAAAAGTATAAACAAAGACAAGGAGGTAGCGGATGGTGTCTAAACAAATTCTTCATGTATGTAAGGGCCATTTGTAACTGTTAATCACATTTTTAATAAACTGTTCATATTAAATGCTGCTGAAATATGCAGCGAAGTTTGCTACCAGCATTGTTTCTTTGTATTACACGTCTGTCTACATGTCTGTGGTGTAAAGTACGCATGTCTGACAGTCTTCTATTCATTTCAATCTATTTGACCTTTACTTTTCCTCTTTTTCTACAAATATTTATTTATTTGCTTTTCATCTTTTAACACTTGGCTGCTCTCTGGCCCATTCCATATTCTCTCATGGAATAAAGAAGTATGATTTTTATGTAGGTGTTAGCAAATCCTTTTCTGTCATAATCCACTGCTAAAGCTCAAAAAGTCATTAATAAAGGATTCTAGTTTACTTTTATAAAATGATTTTCATTCAACTTAGTTTCTCTGTTTTCCTTTTTTCCCCTGTCACTGTCTTAATGCTGGAAACTTGAGCAATAATCAGATCCCCCTGGCTGTACTTTGTATTTTCTCTGTGCCAGCTACACAGATGGATCTGTGAACACACAGAAACATTTTTGATGCTCAGAGTATGACAAAAAAAAAAAGTTCTGAATGTCTTTTCAGTCAACACTTGTGCTTTTTGATGTAAAATAATCAGAGTTTAATGTTTATGGCATTTAATAATGAATATTATGTGAACATACTAAAATGTGAACTTTTAGTATAACCTTTACTGTCTCTCTGTGTGCAGGTTTTCAGTCAACGTGTTCCAGCCTCCTTTCCAGTCAGGCAGAACATCCCCTGAAACATCACAGTCCCGAGTAGACCTCCCTCCAGTGCCAGCAGGCTCCCCTGACGGTCCTGGACTGGAGGATGAAGCTGTGGGTGGTAGCAGTACTGTAGGAGCAGGTAACTTGGAGCTGGAGAGCCACGCTTCGCTGCCTGAATCCCAGGCAGAGTATGCTCAGGCCTCAGCCATCCACTCAGGGAACTCGGAGTCCCTCTCCTCTTCCCAGACGTCCCTCTCCACCACACGGACCACAGATTCAGGGTTCTCCGAGTCACTCTCTTCTGCTTCTTGTTGCTTTCTGGACCCTCATGCTGAAAAAGAGACGTCCTGTGAGAAGGCTGTGCGGCCAGAAGGTAAATGTATTGTACAGATTCTTCATTATTTTGGTGATTTGCCTTTTTTTTTTTTTTTCTTGCCTTCTTATTTAAACTTCTTGAACGTTCTGCAGCTGCAGTCGCAGGGTATCAGCATCCGTGTGAATCTGCTTCAGGTCATGCTAGTCAGTTCTACATCGCTCTGCTGGATGCAAACAACAAGGAGCAAAGGCTGGATGAGAGAGGTACCACCCCACTTTCTACAGAACTGATTTTCTTTAGTTTTATTCTTTTCATTGCCATATTGGGTTGATTTAGCAAGATATGGTGCTAAATTGAAAACCTCTTCAAGACTTTTCTGTCATAAGATGCGTTTTGACTTTTTCAGGCTTCTGAGGTTTAGTGTTACAAAAATAAAACAGAAAAAGTTCCACACATCAATATGTTTTCCTCTATCAACCCGTCTGCAGAAGATGCACTGACAGATATACCTGACGATGCAACCCTGGAGCTGGTGTGGAAGAACAACGAGCGTCTAAAGGAATATGTGCTGGTGAGCTCCAAGGAACTGGAGTATGAGGAAGACCCGGGTTCTCTGAGTGAGACGGCCAGAGCGGGACACTTCACCCTCGAGCAGTGCCTCAATCTTTTCACCAAGCCAGAAGTGCTGGCACCTGAAGAGGCTTGGTAGGAGTCTTTAAGAAATGAGCTCTAAATAATGTAGCATCGATTGTGATTCTAGACGTGTAGCTCTTTTTCAGGTTATTCACAAATTCCACTTTGTCTGATGTAATTCTAAACTTGGTGAACATACCAAGTGGTAAATGTGTCTAGCCTGTGTAACGATAAACTCAGGTTTAACTTTCTCTTTCCCACTCCCAGACAGCAGCGACTAAACTAGGAGACATCTTGTATACAAACTTCAAAAAGAGGAACTAAACTTAACACTTAAACCAACAACCTGGTCTGTAGCTGGATAGTGTCAGGGCTCCTGCATAGACATTCAAACAGAGGCTTTTATTTGTGTATTATTACATGAGAGAGAGAAAGAAAAAGATGTTGATACATCGAAAGGGAAAAACTCAGTATACTACAGTTACATACACTAACAAAACAAACTGAGTTTGGATAATGATGCTCTCAGGTTTTTAAACAATGTTCAGAGGTCAACTTTTATGGGAAAGATCTAGAATTTATACCTGGGCTAGGGGAAGAACTGGTGGCAACCAGTATTTTTATTGTTTATTTCACAGCATTATTCTTTAGGTACCACAGTCATTGCAGTAGTGATGGTGACGATAATAATCCAGTAGACTTTAAAAATTCTCAGTTTCTGAGTTCAAGTTCAACGCTGAATCATAGTGAACATAAGTAAACAGGTGTCTGCTGCGTAAAATTGGATTAGGACATAACATTTGCCCAGTACTTTATTACTCTACACTGTGCTAAGAGATACATTAGTGAACTTCATAGTTGAAACTTCTTAAATGAAATTCGGTACAGGCCTGACGTGAAAAGTCTTATTCGATTATTCTGTGCATTCGTCTCATCAGCTGGTCTTTATCTCTGCTCTCTGTGTTAAGGTACTGTCCAAAGTGCCAGCAGCACCGTGAGGCCTCCAAGCAACTGTTGCTGTGGCGTTTGCCCAACGTTTTGATCATTCAGCTCAAACGCTTCTCCTTCAGGAGTTTCATTTGGAGGGATAAGATCAATGACATGGTCGACTTTCCAGTCAGGTCAATACAAGCTAAATGTTTTTGTATCCTAATTTTCACATCATTTGAATGTCAATGAAAAAAAGATTTGGTCAATTATTTAGCTAAGTGTGACTATTATTAGTAGTAATACTGTATCATACTATACTGTATTTGTTTCTATAACATTAGCCTCTCTCGTCTTTCAGGAATCTAGATCTAAGTAAGTTCTGTATTGGCCAGAAGGATGAGATGCAGCAGCCTCCTATCTATGACTTGTATGCGGTCATCAACCACTATGGAGGAATGATAGGAGGCCACTATACTGCCTACGCTCGCCTGCCAAGTGACAAGAACAGCCAGCGCAGTGATGTTGGTAAGTCTGATCAGTGGCATCTGTTTTTATGTATATGGAAGTTATACAATAAGTTCCACTCTAACATCTTGCTACCACTTATCGGCCTCTCTTCCCTCCTTGACTCTCAGGCTGGCGTCTATTTGATGACAGCACCGTGACAATGGTGGACGAGAGTCAAGTGGTGACGCGTTACGCTTATGTTCTGTTCTACCGGCGCCGAAACTCCCCAGTGGAGAGGCCGCCACGCTTCCTCAGGCCTGTAGGTGCAGAGTCGCCCACTGCTGCAGGAGCTACTGCCAGCCAGGTGAGAGAGCCATAACAATAAGACAGGAAATTTTTCCCACAGCTAACTTAGAGCTCCTGTAGTTTTTGTTGTTTTTCTGGTTTTTTGGGTGGGGGTGAGTGAACTGTCACTGTTAGTGTGGTTGATGGGCTGTAGGAAGATTTTAGCTTGGGTCAGTGTGGTTAATGAGGGAGTTGTACGTGTTTATTCCTTTGTACATTGTATCGAGTCCATCTGTCATTGGGGTTTGGGATATTAATAAGTGTCACACTAATGAGGAACTGGCAGTACTTGCCAGGTGTTAAGAGACAGGCCTGTGTGTTAAATCTCTCTGAGAACTGCTGCTTCTGTTCAATTAGTCTTGACAAGAGGAGCTTGTGCTCTGACATTGTTAATGACAAACAGCCCAGTGGGTTTATAATGGATGGATCCACTGTTAATCTCTGCAAAGCTCAGATGTCAAGTGGCATTAGCTTTGTGGGTTTTTTCTTTTCCCTTTTTCCCACTACTTGAGTGTAACTGCTTTTGAGGGTTTTTGTGGGGTTTTAAATATCATTCCCTATCATTAATAAATCTTGCTGTTGATCTGGTGGACAATTGAAAAGCGGGAAATACACATTATAAGCAATTTCAGTGTGTATTGTAAGTGATCTTGCTTAGACATCCAAATCCATATGGGTATAAAATTAAGTGGAGAATGGCGTCTGGACTTCTTTAGGTTGCTTGAAGACACAACCTAAAGAAGTCCAGACGCTTTTCTTTCCAAGCTCCTTAGACTACGATGACCTGGATGACTGAGAACCTTCACAGACATAAGTGGAGAATGTATAATCTGCATTTTATTGTCCTTTTTCATACATCTTGGGGGGCACTCTGATATTAAAGGATTCCCTTGTAAGTAAATGAACAGCTAAATAACGTGAGTGTTTTTAGTGGAAGAGCATTGTGTTTTAAAGACTTTATATTCACTTTTAAGCTGTTTTTCATTCCTGTCCTCCTTTTTGCTGGAGCATTTTAGCCATGTATTGATCAGTGAGACTTTGAACCATTGAGTTGTCTTTCAATGTGAGCACAGTGCAAATGATATACAGATTATTTATTAAAAACTGACTTCATGTCACTGCCGGATGTGAAGAACTCCACTTTGTTCCTTTGGGATAAATGCTGCACAGTCTTTGTTCAGTTACTTTCATTTCAGAAGCTGTCAGATGAGATTTCAAGGCTCAGGCTTAAATTTCATATCAATCTCACAAAATTTGCTTAAATTGGTAAGAATATACTATGTTACAGTGTTTCCAACAAAATGGTTAAAATATACATTTCTTAACCTGGGCTTTTAGTAAGAAGAGCTTGAAGATGTCCCTTTATTTTCTGGCCCCTGTAAATTTGATTCCCACTTAAAGAACAATCTCCTCACTGTCCCAGTTTTAGTAGAGCACACGTGTCATCTCCGTACAAATCACTATGCTCAGCAAGTACACACATTTGGAGGTTTCTCGTGTAATCGTAGTATTTGTTAGAACACGCACCTTTTCGCAGAAGCTGACACAGGTTTCCCGCCAATCGCAGGCCTCTCTAATATGGCGGGAACTGGAGGAGGAAGACGACGGGCTCGACGAAGGGCCCCGTGGACTGTTCCTCCCTGCGCTGCGGCGACACCGAACACAGAGAAACAGAGACGAGGAAGAGGAAGATGGAGCCGAACAGTCGGTGCAGCGGCACCGCAGGCAGAGGATGCTGGACTATCCCGACGACGACTGCGTACGATACTTTGTTCTGGGCACGCTCACTGCAGTGCTCGCTCTGTTTGTCAATTTGGTCTACCCTCTTCTTTACAAAGCCACCTGGAGCTGAGTGCTGGGTTTACGTGCTGGACCGCCCCTGAAATCAAAAAAGTCTGTTTGTAGAAACGAGAAGAGATGTTTTTAGTGTTTTTCCAGTAAAATATTTGTGTTCTACATAGCACCACAATACCTGAAGTGGCTAAACCCTTTAAAATACTCGGCACTACTTCACATATTAAGACTTAAACAGGCTGATGTTAAAGTCACAGCTGCTGACTCTTTCATCGTGAGAGACGCTAATTTAAAGCTGCAGGAGAGCTACCCCCACACTGTAATGATGTACTGGGTGTAGATTTCTCACTACATTACCTCTGCATTGTTTTAAAGTGGCTTCAAGCTCTGTACATTTCTAAAGAAAGTTTCAGTTTTTATTGTCACACTTTGGGTAATAATTCTCAGATGATCAGCCATGACAGCCTTAATTATACATTGTATATGTGGAGTTGAAGCACAAACCCTGAAAGCTCTTTTGGAGCCTGTTTAGATGCGTTCAGGAGTCAGATAATTGTGTAGGATCCTTTTTAAGATGCTTATAGGAGCATTATAGAATAGCAAGGACCCACTGAAAAGCGCCTTTTGTTTCCAGTGCACTACACTCATAAAAGATCAACGTGCAGGATTCGGGGCCATCTAGTGGTGAGGTTCCAAATGGCAATTAACTGAATGCCCATTTCTTTGGAGCACCTATGCAAATCTACATTATAACTGTTTGGGTCTTCCCGTCTGTGTGACTTGAGAGACATCTGTTTATATTTGCAGGTGTTTGTACACTAATGAAAACAATGATTAATATATTCTTATAGAGCCCCATAAATCCTACACATTGGTCCTTTAACAGTAGAAATGTATGATGGGTGGAAAATGTGTTCTTGAAGAAGAAAATATTAAACCTTATTGTATGTATATGTATGTGTGTGTGTCTGTGTGTAGCTGCTTTTAGTTTGTATTCTGAAAATTAAGAAAAATGAATTTCGGGGCCTTTTTAAAATTTCTGATCTTGTCAAGACAACATGTCCTCTTTTACATGTACTGTAGTACACTCTAATTATATATATCTTTTTTTAATTGTGTGTTTATTGAATACCTCTAAGCCATAACTGCTTTGAAAAGTTAAGGGGTTGTGTTTTTTGGGGGTGGTGGGGACTTCTTTCTGTTCATTTGTTTTTGTTTATTTTTGAGCAGTTTGCGGCTAACTAAAGTATATTCAGAACAATAAAACTATACATGTTTGTCCGCCCCTGAATGTAATGTTTATAAATTGCACTGCTTTAAATGGAGTTAAATTCTGAATGATTTGGGAGCTCTAAAGGACAGTTACACATGAATTGTTCCTTACTTGTAAGCTAAAAGCAAAGGTATTTTTGTAGAGCCTTCTTTAAATTTAAAATTTTAAAATATATTTATTTATTAATAATTCCGTTTAGCAGCTTAAGTTGCTGGACGACTTCATCCACAGCCACTAACTGTTTGCAAGTGTTGTTGAGACTCCACACCGTCCACAGATCAGTTCTTTGCTCTGCAGTCATCCCGTGATGATCGTGTGTGAGTGTGTATTTGGGTCTCAGGGAAACCTCTGGTATCAGGTCAGAGTACACAGACCTGTATGTGCTCTGCCTTACTCGGATCACCATCAGACTGTATACTTGATTCAGACATATGCAATTCTCAAGTCTTTATTCTATTTTTTTTGTCTACAGTGTTCTTGATCTAGTTTGTCTAATTTGTCTCCTCAAATCAACTCTGTAGAAGTATTTTAGGGGGCACGACCTCCAAGTGCTGATTGGCTAATGATTTAATGGACTTGACTGATAAAGTTATCTTTGTGTGTGAGTGTGTGTTGGGCCTAATTTAAAAATGTTAATTGCAAAAGAACAATAATCATAACCTATATTTTGATGCCTCTGTATAATATTACCAAGTTATTGCAAGTAGTATATTGAATAGATCATAACCTATTTTAATTTCCATGCAATAATGTATCTCAATAACTCCACCTGAATGCTGCTTTCTAATATATAAACTTTGTGAAAATAAAATTTCCATCTGTTTATGGTCTTTGTGTGTTTCATGCCCACACATGAACACTCTGAATGCTGAACCAATGTGATTTAATGTGAACGCTTGGTTTATTTTGCAGGCCTCTAGCCAGTCGCTATTTGGGACAGATCTGGATGCCGAAGGACCGCCTACGCTGACCCCTGAGGTACCGTCTGACCTTTTTGCCCACTCCGGCGAGTGTGCAGCACCATCCTACGGCAACATGGAGGAAGTGGACTAACAAGTATGAGGGCTGATGAAAGAAAGGACAGGAGAGTGGAGATCCATGGAGGTCCCCCAAGTGGGAGCAGCTCCTCGGCTGATGACGCATCTGTCGTCATTGGTTACACCGGCATCTGAATCAGGTGTCCGGGGGGTGCAATGCAAAAAAATCTGCAGGTGGTCTGAGGATTTGACTGCACTCACTTGAGACAGACCTTTGTTAATATACTCACATTAATAGCCATTGAAAAAGACTTAACAAGTTACATGTGTAGTTTTATTCATTCAGTTCATATGGGGACACTTATGATCTAAGAGCTCCTGTTAACAGTAGCAGTAAGTAGTAAAGCTGCTGCTAATGGAGTTCCTCCTCCACCACCTAACAACCACCTACCAGAGAGAGGGTGTCCACGCACCAAAGCACCTTGTGGTCTGGTTTCAAGCTAAAAACCGGCTCTTGCTAACATTAACCAGACCTGTGGTCGATTATTAGGGGATATTTGGACACTTTGATGATTGTCGTAATATAAATGTGTTGTTTGTTTTTGTTTTTTTCCTTTTAAAGTTTGAGTTGCCTGGTTTGATTTGTTTGTGGTGGTGTATTCAAGATGGACTGGAATTGTAGCATCACATTAAGGAAAACATGAGATGGTGCTGACCCACCTTTTTTTTGTTTTGTTTTGTTTTTAATACAGTGAGCACACACTTTTTCTGTCCCGTTGCTTTCTAAACTTGATTTAGCTTCACTTTCTCTAGCTTTGTTCATTTTTTTTGTACTTGTTTAGTTTTTTCATTCCTGTGGATGCTTTGTCTAAAGGCTTCAGTATAAATTGAAATGTGCATGGCTGCATGTAACCCGAGCCCCTCGTCAGATGTACCCGAGCCCCCTCTTGCTGCGTTTCATTACTTCTGTTTCCTGTAAGTTGTCTAGCATCATGTTCTCACCCTCCTTTGTAATGGACTGCGTATATAATGTGGGGATCATTAAGAATGTTGCTGTGGATGCATATAAATGGTTAATATAAATAAAAACAGTTTTGAGAGTTAAAGACACCGGTGCCTGCAGTCTTCTCTCTGTGCATAAACGGCACTCTTTGAGCGAGCATTGCGCCAAAAGTGAAACTCGGTTTAGACTTGAGAAAAAGAATTGTTGATGTTCATGAAGCAGGAGATACACAGAAGAACTCTAGACAGGAATGGACTATGAGGTTGCAGACCAAAAAACAAAAACTCCACTGCAGAAGAGACCTTTAAGTCAGTATACAGTATGTGGAGGACAACCTGGAGAAAGATTCTGCAGTTTTTTTTAATCACAGAGACGACGTATGTTTGGTGAATGAAGGGAGAGCAGCGTCCCCACAGTGAAACCTGGTGGTGTTGTGCTGTGGGAAAGTTTTAGTGTGTGGAAAAACTGGGTGTTGGTCGTCACTGTGTCTTCAAATGTAACGATTCAAAACGCGTGTTACTCTTTTGCTCTTCTGGAGGTGGTGAAGAACTAACTCCAGAAGACCAAAGTGACTGACTTGTCTGCCATTGAAAATGAAGTGAGGTTAACTGAAGACCAAGGTCTATACCAGGAAACCATTACATCTGAGAGAGTTTCCAAAGAAGAATGGGCTAGGATTGCTCAGGGAAACAACTGCAGTCTGTTATTCAGCAAAAATGAATTGCAGTCGACTATTAGCAACAGGGGGCTGATAGTTTTGACCCTAGTAGTTTTTGTTTTTGGTGCAGTTTCTGTGCACACAACAAAATAATGTGAGCATCCACAATAAATCTAAGATGTTTGGAAAAGCTGAATTAAAAAAAAAATTCTTGCTCTGTTTAACAGCACTTGGAAAATACTTTAAAAAATGCAGTTTTCATTCCTCATCTATAAAACATCTGTACGACCTAAACACAGAAGGACACCTTCAAAATAATGCCAAGTCAGACTAGTGAAAGTGCAGGTGGACATAATACACTTAAGGCTGAAATTCATTCATTTAGCATCATCACATTGAGCCTTATTTCTGCTGGTGCCTACTTGCTGTCACTGGGAACTAATCAGAACAGAGCAACCAGCGTGTTGATGACACATTTTGACTGTGAGAACTTTAGATGCCCATCCTGCTTTATAACACGTGTGCGTGACACAACAAACGGAAGGTGGCGCTGTTTCGCGTGGTTTGGTTGCATTCAGCCACAGAGCGGCTGAAGAAGAAGAAAGTAGGCAAGGGAGAACCGGTAAATAACCATGAGTCAACCCTGAAGCCGGTCAGGTAGGAATTTCTGTCTGTGATAGTCTCAGTTCACTAACGACGCTGTCATGTCGGATGTCGGTGAGAGCAGCTGGCGCCAAGCTGAAGAACATGACGGCACAGAAAGCGAAGAAGTCCACGCTTCTGTGTGGGGGGCACGTGACCCTGCGCTGACAGTCCCTCAGGGGCTCCGGACCGCACATCACGAGCCGACCAGGAAAAGGCTGGTGCTACATGTTGACCTAAACAACACCATACTGGTGTCGGACGCCGTGACGTGTCAGGGGACTTTGGCTGCCCTGGACTACTTTCTGACCACTGTCACTTGGGGGAAGAAGAACAAACACGGTAAACACGGATGGTGCTTTCCAGCAACACGCGGGAATGCTAGGAATGTATGTGCACGGGCGCGCGCGTGTGTGTCAGTCAGGTGACACGGGGGAACCGTTTACTTTTTACTTTCTCTGTCAGACCCCCGGAACAATACTTTTACGCACAAATACTTGGGCTTGATTGAAATTAAACGCATCATTGGAAACGTTGAATACCATCCAAAGGGACAAGTTACCTTTTATTTAACGCAAATTAAATTCTTATTTTCTTTAATGTTTGGCAGAATGTAAGTTCCACCAAGGCTGAGGGGTTGACATGTTACATTTTATTAATGAATGAAAATTATTATTTCAGTTTAACTTACATAGAGTTCAAAACAAAAGCAGTGATTTTTCAAAAAAGTAAAGGGGAAGTTTATTTTAATGTGCATGTTAAAATCTTGGAAATAGACCCTCCTTTGTCCAGTTGTTTATTGTGTTGTCATTGTTTCTATACAGGAACCTGGGAGTGGTTGAGTGACTCACCCTCTCTGCTCCCACCCTGCAGCGAGGCTGTAAGCTACTACTCCCAGTTTGGACGCATTCCTGGTTTCACCTCTGGTGCTGGCCGTCGCTTCCGTAAGGTTCTGGATGAGCACCTGGACCTGCTCTGCTGGCCTGATGGGGTAAAGGTTGGTGTCTTGATAGACAGAGTCGCTGCGGGGGCACTGGGACAAAACCGTTACCCTCTAATTACTCCTTGTCAGATTCTGATTTTTCAGCGACCCTTTTCACCTGGAATCTGCGTATATGCGATGCAGTTTTGTTAGTGCAGCGCCATCTGGGAGGAAACAAGTGCAGCACTCTTCAGTTTTTCATTTTATATTTAAGCTGTGCCTTATCATGCTGCTATAACCAATTTAATATTTACTCATGATTCATTCATTTTCTCAGTTAATTTTCACACAATGTTTCTGACCCTGGTTCTGCTGAAAGTTTCTTCCTGTTAAAAGGGAGTTTTTCCTTAACACAGTTGCCACAGTATTTTTTCTCTGTATTATTGTGGGGTTTTTACCTTACCTTACTTATATAACTGGTGTGAATAGAAAATCCACACCTGTGATTGGGAGCCAGGATGTTGTATGCATGTCTACATCTGGGTGCTGCTTTCCACGATTAAATCAGCTGTTGCGCTTGTTGCAAACCGGCTTGACAGGTTGATGCAATTAGTGTTAACTGCTTTGTGGCCCTGTGTCTGTTGCAGGCAGACAGAGACCTGTCTGTAAAAGGAGAAGACGGACGCCTGTACCACTGGATCCTCCCGTCCTTCTTCCAGCTGCTCAGAGATCTATCACAGGAAGGTCGTGAGTTTGCCATCCTCTTCCGTACGTTTGGAACCGACCTACCTCGCGTGCTAAAAGCCGTATCCCGAGCACTCGACGGGGCACACCCACTGTTCCCTGATCTGCCTCAGCTAAAGGTAACTAACACAGGCATACATTCAGCTGTAATACTTGATGAGACTGCACTATATAATGACAACGTATGTGATAAGTTAGAAATGGCATGAATGGAAGAGCAGGGGTGAAACTGGTTTTAAAAAAAACAAACTGTCCGTCATTGTTCTAGAAGACACTTTTTGGAGCAACATGTAGAGGTTTATAGTTGCAAGACACTAAATGGACTGAAATAAGTCATTTAGAATCAGGGTGCCTTTCATATGAGGTAATATTTCCAGGATTTGGTTTACCTATAATGAAAACCTGTTCAGATAAATCAGGGACAGCAGCAACTGTAAAAGTTGCTCTTTGAGTAGAGGTTTTAATTGGTGCAGAAACGAATGCTACCAGCATTAAAGGTACAGGCAGTAATTTTTTGAGGTTATTTAATACAAAAACTACTGTACTCGTAAATGTACACATGTAATTTCATGTTTCATTCATGCATTCTCATAAACTTAAATCCATTAAAAATATACTGGAGCAGGTTTGCAGTTTCTGGTTGCCACAATGTTACTCCACCATATTCGAGTCCAGAGGGCTGGGAAGGAGATCTCCCACCTGACTAATGGTGTTTTACATATGTGGCTGGAGATCAGCCACGGACATAGTTTGCCAAAAGAAGACGAGAAAGACGGTTGTAGGCGTTCATGGAGACACATTTAAATTCCTGCCTGCACCTTCAGACTCAAAATATGAAGGTTCTTACCTACGATTTATCATTAAAGAACACCAGAAAAACAAAACTGTGAAGAAAAGAGACAAAGCCAGAGGTCAGTCAGAGAAGTAATGGCGTCCCAAATGATATGTTCCTACAATGTTGATTTATTCAAGGCAGAATGAGTATATAGAAGCTCCAGCAGTGTATACTCTGACGTCATAGCCATCTTTTAAAGCTGCATTTCACGTTCTTGCCTTCACTGCGTTAGTCCATGAGAACTCGTACTCAAAATGGTTCCACTGGAACAATGATGCATTCACACCACTGGTCTCATTTCCTTCTCAGCTTATAACTGTTGCTGTCATCACTACCTGGAAGTGATACACAAGTAAGTTGTAAGTTGTGCTTATATAGTGCCTTCCTACTCTGAGCACTCAAAGCACTTTTTGCCTCACTCATGCATTCATACAAGCAGGTTTTTGTGCTTTCTATCTAACATTCACACATTGCATCAGAGAGTAAGTAGTGGGGTCAGCATCTTGCCCAAAGATATTTGGAGCCACCAACCTTCCACTTATGTAATGTAAGTAAATGACCTGCTCTGCCTCTGAGCTACAGCCAGCTGGAGCTACACCTCCAAGTCACCTCCAACCAGGTCTTTTATGTAATCTTATAACCTTAAGCTATTAATGTTGCATGCACATCGAGCTGATGCTTAATCTTACTTAAGAACTTATTTTAGTTACACTTTAAGCCTCACATCATTAAAGAATAGAAGAAGGCAACTTCAAACACTTGTTTAAAAACACTAAATAGGACACGGTAATTAGAAGCCTTATTATTAATGTCTTGCTCTGTTGCTCTTTTAATTTATTTTTTATTAATTTATTTTTGACCAATAGAATTCATTGTAGCTGTGCTGCAAGTATCGTAATTTGTTCAGCTTTTTTTTTTTTTTGGGTGGGTGGGGTATTTTAGACTATGCCTGATAAATTGGTGTTAATATTGTGTACTAGATCTTGTGCAGAGCACGATCTTCTGTGCTCATACACATGAAACCTTTCCCAGACTCGAACATGCATGCACTTGACTCACCTGGAGGGTTTTGTACCTGTTGTGTACCTGTTAGTGCACTACAGTGGAACCGATTGAGTCAGAGAGCAAAGCAGAGATTGGAAAGGATGGCTGGATAGATATGTGTGGAGGAGGATGGACGAGATGCCCTCAAACTTAGCCTGTCAGCCACAGTTATCTCTGTGAAGAAGAGCTCAGTGGAAATCTTATTCAAGCAGCCTCCTGTCAGATGCTATTAATCTGTGTGTCAAGACAGACGGAGCAGGGGGGAGATCAATCACAGGAACTAATGTGATTGCTCACTTTGTGAACTTGAGTTGTCTTCCTGCTACTTGGGGGCAGCTGCTCTGCTGTATTTGTTGTCAAGTTGCGGGGATGTGTGTACAGGGGGAAAGGTGTTTAATTAAATGAGTTCATTAACCTTGGTTAGTTTACAGTTAAAGCCAACTCCATCCTAATGTCCACATCACTGTGTTTGGTAGCATCTGTGTACCTGATTGTAAAATCAGACCAGCACAGCCAGTTATTATTACATCTCTTTAATTTCACATTGGATTTGACTGTATGTTGCAAATGCACCACATGATGGTTTGAGCTTTTTAAGCCAGTAGTTTTAAGTAGAGTACACTGAAAATCCCCAGTGTTTGATTCAGCAGGGAAAAGCAGACCCTGTGAAGCAAAGCATGCAGAGTGATGGGGGACAAACGGTAAAGAAACACTGCAGTAGCTGTGTGCAGAATGGTGCTCAGAACCAGTGTTAATGTTAAACCGACTACTCGTAGGTCATCCATCCATCTGTGCTTGAACACAAAAGAGACAATGATGATGTCGTGTCTTTAGTGACATAACAGGTTGTCAGGGGCACGAACAGCTGTGTTCAGCTGTACCTCAGCTCAGTGATGCTTTGAGTTACATGCACATATAAAAAGTGGCAGTGGCGATGTGTACGTTTTATCTATTTTTTGCCATGTTTCACTGTTAACATGCTGGAATATGCCGAATAGCATTTAGCACACAGAGATGCTTAAAGGTATTTAGATATAAGGCCAACTGAGGTTATTATAGTAAACTAAATATAGATATGTTTGTTATTAACTGTAATAACAAAATACCCTAGATCTTTGGAAAACCGTGGAAATGAACTAAAATCAAATACAAATATAGAGGAAATAACCTTTTAGTATTTGTTAGTTGTTAAAATTCCCCTGTAGTTACATAGTAATGTCAGATAAAATAGATTTGTTTAATTATATTGACCTGCCACTAGGGCTGAACGATTATGGAAAATAATCTAATTGCGATTTTTTGCCCCAATATTGCGATTGCGATGCGATATGCGATTATTTTTTAAGGT